AAAGCTTTGGAAACTGAATTTGGGATACGAGAAACTGCAGTAGCAGCAGTGACTAGGCTTTGGCGTTAGGGGGCAGGACACCCCCAGGTATGCCCTCTGCCTAGTGATGCATTCTGCTTACTGCTGGGAAAATTAAGGGTGCATTCTAAAGACTTCCAGATTTTTCCAGGGCATTATGATAGTATGATAACACTGAAAAACAGTTTTACTTCTACTTATGTGAATTACTGGCATGAGCACTGAGGTGTACTCAGGCAGTACGGAAATGAGCTTTTTATCAGTTTCTTACCAGATCTTGATTGAACAGTGACGCAACAATTTCTGTTTATCAAAGCTCAGAGTACATGCACTGTATCCATGTATGTTTTCAGCCTGAGCACAGAAATGCTCTCCCTCCTGTATGCCAGGTAAATTCTTCTTCTGCCTTTTCTTTTGAGCAGGGGTCTGTGCAATCATTCACACCATCTCCAGTGGAGTATCATGCCTCGGGGCTCATATCCAACTCACCGGCACTGTCAGGGAGTTACAGCAGCGGCATCTCTTCGCTCAGCCGGTGTAGTACATCAGAGACATCAGGCTTTGAAAGCCAAGGCAGCGAACCAGCAGTGACTGTACCAAGCTACAGCATTTCTGAGGAGCCTGTGAGAAAAGAAAGTAAAACCCCACCACCTTACAGCGTGTATGAGCGGACTTTGAAACGACCCGTTCCTCTACCTCACAGCCTCTCCATCCCGCCCGCCGCAGACCCTCCGGCACTGCCACCCAAGCCACAGCTGGTTCGGCCAAACAACCTGGAAAACAGCAGCAGGAGGACTGAGCAGGTTCCCCGGCCCAGGCCTCTGCCCCGCAAAGTCTCTCAGCTATGAGAAGCCACTTTTATATTTAACTGCAATGCATTCTTTACTGTTTAAGAAATAATATTTTTAAAAATTGTAAAACTCGTTTAGTTAGGCACTTTAATATTTTGTCCATCTTTTCTTTTGAGTAATTTTGAAATGCTTATTAATACTACGTTGCACATTTGAAATAAAATTACTAATTTAGTTTGCCATATATTATAGGAAGCATGAATGAGAGGATTTTTTWAAATTTCATGGTGGTGAATATGGATAAATGCTTTTATTTGTGCTTTATTTTTATTTAAAAATTAAATCTAAAACCATACAACTCTCGTCTGAGTTAGCTGAATGCTTCTTGCAAAATGCAGAATATACTGACTGGATCTTTACTACTAGAAATAAATG